TGATCCACAGACCAATGAGTGAAGCCTGGTAGCTGTGTGAGCAAAGCGGAGTGTAGGCGTGGGAAGTGGCTGTTCTCAGCGATCTATTGTGTATGCTGTGGCCATGATGGACAATCCTACCTCAACAGTATATAGGAGGTGCCTCTTTTATGTTTTGAAAATGGCCTTGCGGCAGTGCATAAAATTTACTGCATTAAAATGTTTTAATTTATGTCTTCAATTCAGTGCATGAAGTCAAAGAAAGGGCTGTCAAAGATTTGAATTTATCATCAAGGCCTGGCTTTCCACAGGAGATATAAGCTGGGAGTTAGGGACCGTTCATAATTTATGGCTAGTGGGGGTGATGATGATTTTAGGGTGGTGTTGGGGAGGTAGGGGGATCATCAATTTTGTACACATGTACTAGGAGGGGGTTGGCATTGATTTTGTACTTGATATGCAGATACATGATCACTTACTTTTTCTGACATTTTTTTTTTTTTTGGGGAGGCGGATTGGAACAGTGTTTCCGTTTACCGGCATATGCGGTATTTTACCGATAAAAAATCAAAGGACCGGCATATTTATGGCAAACAAGTCCTGGGGACCCGGCAATAAATACACCGGTTAAATCATTTCCTCAAATTGGCAATACAAATTACCAGCAACTGTTAGATAAAGGAAACTTCCATGTAAATTCGATCTGCACCATATGCGATCGTGTAAAGGAATTCCGTGTCTATTTTTAGTAACAGTCCCAAGCGATTATTGTCATTGGCTGGACGTCTCGCTTAGCCTCGATCCAGATGAGAGGCATTTTGGCGTGAGGTTATAATGCATCAGATTTCAATACTCTATCGGGGCCAATAGTAAGACAACTTTACGATGGGGAATGGACATATTAACCCATTCAACACCGCAGGCCGAATAATCGGCCACAACGTCAAAATGAGACATAATTTTAGGAACCTACCTGACTTTTGATTCATATATCAAATCTATCACATTTCACAATGTCTGAAAACACTTATTAAATTTCAATTTATCATATATTATCATCAGAATTAAAATTATAAACTATTTTTCGCAATGTTCTTGAAAACAACGATTCTCGGACACATGCTTCGGCAGCGGGTCTACAATAACATTGTCAAAGAGCAAAGTAACGATGTTTCGAGGAATTCATTAAATAAATTGAATAAACTAATGAATAAAATCAACAACAACATTCATAAAAGTTGTCAAACGTACATATAAAATTACTATTTCCATCTTTTTGTGCGATCATGTAATGTAAGTCAAGTCACTGACGAGTGACATCTCGGCTCTCGCCGCCTCAATCTTCAGCATTTCGGACCACGATGTTTAATGCGAAAATATATACATGAAGCATTTTTGTCACAGGTCATAACCTAGCACGATACGTCCAATAAGTTCCATAATTTACGTACAGGTAGCGATTTCTTGCTTAATATGTTCAGAATAGCATTATTTTACCCAAAACTTTTGTCTAAATCTGAAGGTTTTCGTTTACGAGGACGGTATCCATTACTGTAATATGATTGGCTGCCTTAGGTCACTTGTCCGATTTTGACCAACCACGACCCTTATAGCAGACTGTGGCGAAAAAGCGTCATTAGAAACCAATCTTTATCCAATAAAATCGCTTCTTACAACTGTGAAAATACTCTTGGCAAGGGTACAGTGATATTGTTGATGTTCAGAGCCATGAGAGCTTTCGAACGATGCCCGACATCAAGCGATTCGCGCATGTTATGCATCTGAAGCTTCGAAAACGGAGGTATTTTCCGTTGTTATGTCATGTTACCGAGCGGAAAGCCACAGATATCGGGAAATAGGCGACCATACATATTATTTAAGAAATCTTTTTATAATCATTTTCTGATGACGTAAAAATGAAAATATAAAAGAAAAAGGCACGGACATGTTATCACATGTCACAAATGGAAAAAAATCGCCATAGTTTTTGCTTTTTTCGTGGTTTATCTGGACGTTATAAATGTAAGCTTGCATTTTCATTCAAAAATACATTTATTTAAGTTGTAGTTGTATTATTTGAATAATATTATAAAAATAAACTTCATATTTATCAACAGTAGGATTAGATCTTTTAAATGGTGTATGGGATGTAGTAGCAATAACGTTTTACAAGCTTATAATTTCCTTCATAAACATAGGCTTCATCTATGACCTCAGGGTCTCTGGGAACTCGGTGTCACGGCAGTAAATGCCTCTGGTTGACTGGTGTTGAAAGAGTTAAAAATGAAACACAAACACACACACACATTCTTGTTGTTATCTTTATTTAACATGGAAAAGAAGTGGACTGGTGAAAATAATAAGGGACTGGTATATTTGAGGCTTACCAGTCCCATGGACTGGTAAATTCGAAACTCACGTCATCCTTTAAAGATGTGAAATTTTGCCAAAAAGACCCAAAAGAACTACATGTGTTTTTTCTTTATTTTTATGTGCATTAACAAATTTCATAAATGAGGCTAACCAATTATTTTTGATGATTGATCAGTTGTAATGAAACAATCATCAATTATGAGATTTTAACCAATTCCCAACACTACTGTGTAATACTGATTCATACTGAACGGGTTAGTAACAAATCTGGTTCAAGATTTTCAATTATATTGACTTGGAGGAAATTGTATGCTTTGTCTGGAGGTCACTGGCCTTACATTGTCCGATGTTGTTCTGGGTGGAGTTGATAACAACACCAAGTACCTGTTGTTTTCCCTCAGATATGATCCCCACACTAACCAGTGGAGTAGCGATGTGGCCCCGACCAGTTCGTGTAGGACCAGTGTGGGCGTGGCAGTCTTGGGGGACTACTTGTACGCAGTAGGGGGTCAGGACGGTGTTTCCTGCCTCAACTATGTCGAAAGGTAACTCAGTCTCAGTCAAAGGGTAAAGGAAGTATGTTTTTCTTACAAAAATAGAAATGTCATTTGTATACATGTAATATGCAATGTAAAAACTGATAAGTTAAATATTTCTCTCTGTACACAATTTTTTCATAATTATGACTTCCATCCAAATTGGGATGGTAGGATAGCCTTTTGGTAGAAGCATTCCATCGTCATACCAAAGATCCGTGTTTGATTCCCTACATGGGTACTGTGTGTGAAACCTATTTCTGGTGTCCCCCAGCGTGATATTTGCTGGAATATTCCAAAAAGAGGCATGAAACCCAACTCACTCACTCGCTTCAAAACAGACCAACTATTGATGGTTGATCAAACTAATGCACAGACTGCTAGGGTTAACCGTCACTCCCTCCGTCCGAAATGAAGCCACCCAGATGATGACTGACCTACTCATCTATGCAGTGTTGACCTAACCCACTCACTCACTCGCAATGACACATTATTCCCTTTGTTAGGTATGATCCTCAGACCAACAAGTGGGCCAAGGTTGCTTCCATGAGCACCAGGAGGCTGGGAGTGGGCGTTGCCGTCTTGTGTAGCTTCCTGTATGCAGTTGGTGGCAGCGATGGCACTTGTCCCCTCAACACAGGTTAGTGGCTACTGCTATTGTCAGGGGTGGAAATAACCCATTGCCAGAGGCCCGAGTCCAGTGTTTTTTCTGTCTGGCAAGCAAATTTGTATTTCACACTGTACCGGTGTCCAGTTGACTTTCCAATATTAATTATGTTGTTTATTTTAAAAATCAACAAGAAAATGGCCGGTATAGTGGAAAAATTATCAGGGCAAGTGATTTTACATGTGCCACTGTAGCGGAGTACACTAGCAATTTTAAAGTTATTTCCACCCCTGATTGTACATACACAGGACTTCAACACAGGAACGTTTCACCATGTTGTAAGTGTGTAACAATGCTATTGGCATCCTGGATTTATATTAAGGCAGAACGTGAAAACAAGCCAAAGATACTTCTAAAAACATTTGAACAGAACGTTATCATAGCCATGGTACGTCTCCAGGGGTCAAAATTATTTTGTTGACTCTGAATCTAAAATAGAATCAAAACTTAAATCATTGTTTCAAGAATTTCAAGAAGTAAACTGGATGAAGGCATCACTTGCACCACAGGATACCCATTGCTAGATATCTGTATATTCTTGAAGTCCAGCTGCACTTTGTCTCCCTTAGAATTGTTAGAATTAGAATAGAATCCCACCAACCAATGCTTGAGTGACCAGATTGGTTGTCAAAGACTTGGTCCATTGTTTGTTGTCACTCACTGGATTGTTTGATGCAGACTTGATTCTGTACAGACATACATGAACAGCAATGCTGAGGTATGACTGAGAGTGACATGTTAAACCTCAAAACATGAGATGTATGTTATTTTCAGTGGAGCGTTATGATCAAATCGCTGGACCTCTGTTCTTATGTTTTATTTTTTTTTATGATCCACCGGACAAATGGCTGGACCTCTGTAGCTCTGCATGTTTTTTTTTTTTCAGTGGGCGTTATGATCGGCGGACAAATCGCCACCCTGCATGTTTTTCAGTGGGCGTTATGATCCATGGACAGATAAAGCCTGTATCTCTGTATGTTTTTCAGTGGAGCGTTATGATCCACAGACAAATCGCTGGACCTCTGTATCTCTGCATGTTTTTTTCAGTGGAGAGTTATGATCCATGGACAGATCGCCTGTATCTCTGTATGTTTTTCAGTGGAGCGTTATGATCCTCGGACAAATCGCTGGACCCCTGTAGCTCCGATGGGTACACGGCGGAAACACCTGGGTGTGGCTGTGTACAACAACATGATCTATCGCCGTGTAGGCGGCGGGCGACACCACAGAGCTCAGTAGTGCAGAAGTACAACCCCAGACCAACCGTGGCAGCCGGTGGTTGCCATGGCGATCAGGAGGAGTGGGGTATGTAGGCTGCAGAATGGCATGGAATTTCAACTTGGTCTCATATCTTAAAAGTAGAGGTAGGTTTAACAATGAGTTTCCACAAGACATATTGTCATTATTAATAGTTCATTTTGAAACAAGTGTGAATTATATATGTCAGCAGTAAGGGACAATCTTCTAATCACTGTGAGGAGTTATGTCCCTTGGGTAGACCAGAAACCTGTGATGCAGGTGGAAAGAGCTGACAAACTGTGATATTACTGGAATGCTCATGTCATCAGAGATGCATTGTTTAGTGTTTGACTGTATATTATATCTTGCCATCAGGTGGGGCTAGCAGTCGTGAATGGACAGCTGATGGCAATCGGAGGATTTGACGGGACAACATACCTGAAAACTGTGGAGATTTATGACCCTGAACAGAACTGTTGGAGGATTGTTGGGGAATGAACTATATAAGCGTCTTGGAGGTGGAGTTAGGCGTTGTCAAAATGCCACAAAACGATTCTCATCTCTGGTAGCCCTGGCAACGTTTCTGTAGGTGTGATACAGTAGCTGCAGTGTTGTGTTTCTACCACTGGGAAACAGTTCTGGGATCAGGATTCTGATGTGCCATTTAGGGTGGTTATGGACAAAATGGTGGTGCGGCATGGAAACTGTCTCATTGTGTTGAAGAACCACAGCTTTCTGATGCTCTGTGTGCGTACATGGAGTTAGCGACTCAACAATCTGAACCATCACATTACAACCTGACTTGTGGAATCTGCCACTGTTGTTCTTGAATTCCACATGAACCTGCAATTCTTGGATTCTGCATTACCTGCAGATCATTACTAGCAGAGATTGCTGTGTTTTGAAACTGAAACAATCATAACTGCAGACGAAGCGTAATGATGCCCTAACAACACAATGATCCATCTGGCGGCAACACGGCTATTGATGAAGACATTGAATGAGATACCATTGGCCCCACCTCATGACCAATGTGCTGATTTTTCTAAAGCAAAAAATGACTGGTGTAATTGTGACTGACAAGTGAGTGATGGCGTTCTGACCTTGGAGGGTATACTGTGTTTCCATGGCAACTTTGTGGTGTCCAAGAGCCATTACTAGAACATATTAGACATAAAAATGGACTTGTTGCCATGTTTGTATTTAGCACTCTAATCAGATAGCATTGTTCTGGTCCTGCCAGAGATACATGGTAGACGTGTCAGGGGTCGATATAAGGATTTGAAACCTACTTGCACCCAGTGCAACCTAAGGCAATCACCTTGTTGCACCAAACAAAAACAGGCTGCACCTCCTGCTGCTCAATATCAAATCTTATATAATGCTTGAGTTTTGGTAAAGACGGTTTAGAACAGTATTATAACAAAAGAAATCTGTAGTTATCTTACTTCCTAAACTTTCATGAACAGTAAGTCCTTTATTCACTGTTCCTACAATAATCAGAGTCACTGTTCCAAGTCAGTTCCTCATTCTCTTTTCCAGCTGAAGTCCATTTTCTTTGAACACAAAATGTTAGGGTGCAAGTTGATATACATAAGAGGTTGCATTTAGCAGTTTCAGGTTGCACCAGTGCAAGTTCTAAATGCTTAAATCGAGCCCTGCGTGTGTTTGTATGTATGTAATAATGATAATAGCATTCAATCAACCACTCTGTTGTACTTTCTGGTTACACAAGTGGGAAATATTGCTTAAAGGTTTCAGGAGGGTGAGGTAGCCTAGTGGTTAAAGCATTCTTTCTTCGTGCCGAAGACCCAGGTTCGATTCCCCACACGGGTACAATGTGTGAAGCCCATTTCTGGTGTCACCCACCATGATAATTATGGAATATTGCTATAAGTGGCGTAAAACTCAACTCACTCACACTCACTTTGAGGTTTCATGGTCGTCACATGACTACTTTGAATAAATGCGAGATCATCATAACTCAAACAGAAGGTCTTGCTGAACAACGACCTTGTCTGAAGGAATGTCATGATTATGTGCAAGCAGATCTGGTATTCACGATTTGCTGATTTTGCATTTATTCAAATTAGACTACTAGGATCTGTATGAGATTTTTTTCCAATGTTATGATATCATTTAGCAGCTCATTTGCAGTGTTTTTGTTTTCTCTTTCAACTCATTGCACCAAACCTGGTGCATTATTTAAAATTTTACCTGTGAGTATGAATCATTTCATTGTTAATTCAACTGTCAGTCCATGTATGTTTTTAAATTTTATGTTTAAATCACACTTATTGAATTATATATTCATCTGACCTTATCTTCTTTAGATAATTGCCATTTCCGCTTCATTTGGAAATTGATCTGATTGCATGTATATATACTGATTGGATTCCCCATGAGATGTACTTAAATTGTGTGTGGAGTGATGGAGGGAGGGAGGGAGGGGAGGAGGAAGGAATGGATGGGGGATAGGATGTAGAAAAGGATGACAGACACCGCAGCATGTAGATGTGGGTTGATTTGAATGTCTGGGGGAGAGAGTTTGAATGTTGATGTCTTCCGCTGTGTATAACTATCTTGTACAAACTGCTTGATCCGCTTATTTATTTCCTAGTGTTACACTGTACATGTTGTATGATGTAAATACATTCAATTGTCTGATTGTCCCCACACCTGTTTATGCCAGGCTCACGCTGTATCACATTGTAACACTTGTCATGTACCATGTATCACATGTCATGTTGGATATGGATGTGTTGTAAACCCTCTATCATCATGTAGGATACAGATGTTATTTGCCCTGTATCACTTCATGTAGGATATGCATGTGTCAAGTATCCTGTATCACATGTCATGTAGGATATGGAAGTGTCATGTAACCTCTATCACATGTCATTAGGATATGGATGTGTCATGTATCTTGTATGACATGTTATGTTGGATATGGAAGTGTCATGTAACCTCTATCACATGTCATGTAGGATATAGATGTGTCATGTATCCTGTATCATATGTCATTTAGGATATGGATGTGTATGCAACCTCTATGACATGTCATGTAGGATATGGATGTGTCATGTATCTTTGTATGACATGTCATGTAGGATATGGGTGTGTCATGCAACCTCTATCACATGTCATTAGGATATGGTTGTGTCATGTTCTTTGTATGACATGTCATGTAGGATATGGGTATGTCATGTAACCTCTATCACATGTCATTAGGATATGGATGTCATGTAACCTTTATCACATGTCATGTAGGATATGGATGTCATATAACCTCTATCACATGTCATGTAGGATATGGATGTCATGTAACTTCTATCACATGTCATGTAGGATATGGATGCCATGTAACCTCTATCACATGTCACTTAGGATATGGATGTCATATAACCTCTATCACATGTCATGTAGGATATGGATGTCATGTAACCTCTATCACATGTCATGTAGGATATGGATGTGTCATGTTACCTCTATCACATGTCATGTAGGATATGGATGTCATATAACCTCTATCACATGTCACTTAGGATATGGATGTCATGTAACTTCTATCACATGTCATGTAGGATATGGATGTCATGTAACTTCTATCACATGTCATGTAGGATATGGATGTCATGTAACCTCTATCACATGTCATGTAGGATATGGATGTGTCATGTAACCTCTATCACATGTCACTTAGGATATGGATGTCATGTAACTTCTATCACATGTCATGTAGGATATGGATGTCATATAACCTCTATCCCATGTCATGTAGGATATGGATGTGTCATGTAACCTCTATCACATGTCATGTAAGATATGGATATGTCATGTAACCTCTATCACATGTCATGTAGGATATGGATGTCATGTAACCTCTATCACATGTCATGTAGGATATGGATGTCATATAACCTCTATCACATGTCATGTAGGATATGGATGTCATATAACCTCTATCATGTGTCATGTAGGATATGGATGTGTCATGTAACCTCTATCACATGTCATGTAAGATATGGATGTGTCATGTAACCTCTATCACATGTCATGTAGGATATGGATGTGTCATGTAACCTCTGTCACATGTCATGTAGGATATTGATGTCATGTAACCTCTATCACATGTCATGTAGGAGGATGTGTCATTACATGTCATGATGAAGGATGTAAGTATGTCATGATATGGCATACCAAATATATCTTTGTAACAATATATCACAGAGTATGGTGTGAATGTTTCATGTATTTCATACCATATATAATTATAGTCTGTACCATGTACCCCCAACACATGTTTTTACACAACCATGTGTGATATGCATGCACACATACCCAGAGAGACTGGTGTATATCAACACAACAACCGCATTGAGAGACATGTTATGTGAGCAAGTTATACAGTGTGAGACGGCCATTGGATTAGATGTTTCCTAATGGACAAAACCTTCTTGTGCACACGACTATTTGGTGACATCAGCACTCTACATCTGTTACCATGGTAACTCACAGATATGTGTAAATAGAATCTCTTAAAATGACTGAATAAATATGTAAATTGAAACTTTTTCAGTATATGTTGATCACACGATGAATATCAGAAATACATCATCCTTCAGTGTCATGTTGGTTGGTTTGTTGGTTAACGACACACTCAGCAATATTCCAGCTACATGTATATATGTAGCCGGTTTGTAAATAATCGAGTCTGGACCAGACAATCCAGTGATCAACAACATGAGCATCAATCTATGCAATTGGGATATGATGACATGTGTCAACCAAGTCAGCGAGCCTGACCACCCAATCCTGTCAGTCGCCTTTTACAACAAGCATTGGTTGCTGAAGAAGATGGTTGAAAAATTACGAGCATTATCAGGAAGGAGAGAGACAGGCACCCAGTTCCCATAAAGCATACATCTGCAGTCAGGTCAGGCTCTACCCTACAAAGACTTCTTAGTCCTAAGATTATATTATGTCTGTTAGAGCATGGG